AGACATCAATATTTTGGAACCACATATTTGAGTTTCCTTCCTACAGTGTAAAAGCAGACCCCTGGCTAGCAGAACCCCTAAACTTTGGGTCTTCCTACCTCCTGTCTGCACTTGTAGCATTTCTAAAAGGCTAGAGACATGTAGGAATCCTTAAGGGTGAGGTGGGTTTTTAAGGGGTGCCTCTGGTGGATATGACTGCCAGTCTCCACTCTCCAAGTGGTAAAGCTATTTTTGCACTGTGTTTCTCTGACTTAGGTTCATAATTCCTGTGGGGTTTTTTTGTTTGTGGGTTTTGAGGGTTTTTTGTTTTTTTTTTACCCTCTGGCAAATAGTTACCAGGACAGAAGAATGAGGCATGTTCTGTGAGTATCTCTGAGAGACACCTGCACTCTTTTTATCATATGCTGACCTGATTAATGCTTGTTACACCCAGTTTATTCCCTCATTTATAAGTGAAGGCCCACTTCCCTACCTATTCTCTAGAGAGCAATACTATTTTATTAATTTCTAGCTGATTTTATGTACTGATACATAAAACTTATTCTAATTAGTCCCAGCTTTAATAAGAAAATGAGTCAAAATTCAGCATGTTAAGACAAATGAAGCTGGATCAGTTGTAATCTATGTCAAGCATGTACATTACCCCATATAGACCCATCTCATAACCATAACTGGCTAATCTGATTGCTTGAGTCCAATTATTTTAAATACTCCTGGCAATCAATAGAAATTCATCCTTATAAACCTATTTGACCCCTTTCCTCAGCGAGACATGATTACACACATAACAGTCCTCTATTAACCTTTGACAGAGGCAGGAATTAGTGATCAAGTCTGACATACAAGTGGTGGAAAGTTGCCAAGCAGTCCCAAAAACATCCATCTTCAGAATGAACCCAACATTGTGGCCTTCTAAGAGAATAGAAATTCACCTCACAAGGTGGATACTAAAAGATAAGAGAGGCTTCATTGATCTTTCATTTCTCCCTACTGCACCATTTTTAATTGCAAATGATAAGAAGAAGAGCATTCTACATAAGCAAAGCTTTTCAATATTAACCTCAATAAGTGAATTAAGAAGCAATACCTCACATAAAATTAGAGATCACTAATGGGTCAAGAAATGCAATTCATTCTCGCTCTGGGCAATCAGAACTCTGTGATGACAGACCTCTGCAACTTACAAGGAGCCTGGTAATTGCTGCCCATTACTGCAATAATCAGAGTCTGACCTCAGGGATGAGCCATACCAAACTCTTGGGACGAGCCACACCAAAATCCTACTGGATTTCAGTGGCATCAGGGCAGCAGACTCCACCAGCAGTTCCATCCTTTGAAACATCCCAGTCAACAATTCATCCTGTGCTCTTGAATAACACTAAGTCATTTAAACTGCTTCCAGAAGAGCAAGGGGTTAAATCCATCCCGAGGCTATCCTGTTGAAATAATGATAAATCTGGAGCAGTGTTAATTAACAACTGTGAGAGATTCTTTTCCTATTAGCAGTAAAAAACCCATGACTATTCAGAGGCAGCTGTATTTCAGCAGTAAAGGTATAATTGATATTGAAAATTTCCAGTTAGCTTCTGAATCTCTTAGGCATTGCAGAGCACAAGGGAGAGAGTAATTCTCTTTCTACAGGGGAAGGCATCAAGAGCAGCTGTGCAGAGGTCAATGAAATAAAGCTAGTGGAGAAAGAGACACAAAGCCTAGAGTAGTAAATATAATCTTATTCCCTGTCCCAGTGCAACTTGGTTTTGCATCATGGAGAATTTGTCATACCTGATTCAAAGGTCCAGTGACGCCAATAAAACAGCCTTAACAGAAGCCAATGTATCATGCTTTGAAAAAAATAGAAACACCCAGAACCTGTGAAAGTACTCAAAAACCCCCACCAACCTCTGCTTCCTGAGAAAAAGAGAAAGAACATACTTACAAAAGTATATTGCAAAGTAGGAAAATTCCATCACAGCCTCTCTCACGTTGACTGTGCTGGACACTGGCTCACACAGTCTCTGAAGGCTGCTGCAGAGCCCTGGGTGCAGTGTGAAGAAATGGGTGAGTGCCCGGCCTCATCAGGAGGGAAGATCTAATCGATGGGTATTGAAAACAGCTGGAGCTACAGAAGCACTGCTTGTAGCAGCTGAAGGCTTCTGCTGGTGCCTCTTCTTTATATGGCCCTGAAGGAGGCAAAGGAAGACTGGAAGATTTTTCTAATTAGATTGATGGTGCCACCTGTAGAAGGACTTCAGTGACACACATGGAGCAATGATTTTGTGCTTGGTTTGGCTGTCAGAGGTGCAAAGCAGCTGCAATGTTCATGAGTTTTGCATTGTGATGGTACCTGTAAACTCGCATGTTATGGCACTGAGCCAGTAAGGTCAGTTCTGTGAAGAGAAGCCATAGGAGAAATGTTAACCTCTAAGGTAAAAAAAAAAAAATTAACAGAATCTTCCTCACATTTGAGTACATACTTTAATATTTGGGCTGAGCTCTGAACAGCAGATGAGCAGTAACTTGATCCAAATTATTTTCCTCATCTTGCACAGATTAGATCCTTACAGTTCTGCCCCAAAATCAGCTTGATAGCTCACATATTGTTGATGTGCAGTGAGCTTGCTGTCCTTTCCAGTGCCCTAACCAAGTCTGACAGTTTTGATATTTATCCTCACATCACCCCGTAATGTAAATCACTCCTTCCTTGCACAGGTGAGAAATCCATACAAAAAAAAGGACCAAGCACAAAAAAAAAGAAACAAAAGTGTAGGCTATCAGGTATATTTAAACTGATGGGAGCTAGACACTTAAACAGCTGGGTGAATTTGGACATTAAAGAGTCATCTACCATCCAGAAGTAATTCTTACTAATTTACAGATTTGAAGGGCTTCCTCTCCACTTGCTCTATTTTATTTTTTTTATCCTGCCATCTTGGATTTGGACACAAACAGTGGGACACAAAGAGTGTGCTGCTGTGTTTTAATGACATTGAAATCCTGGAGCAATTATCTGGGACCATGCGAGTTCTGGGATAACCTGGAATAGTTCCTGCTATTTCCAAGCCATCCAGGATAAGAAACCATACTAAAACTCTGCAAACTAGGGAAATGCTGGACTTTTTGTCTATGCAAAAACAAGGGATTTAGAGGGGCTCCATCTCACTTTTTAATTCTACAGATATTTTGCGTCCTCAATGCTGCTGTTTAAAACATGCAACACTGTGCTTTCAGTATGAACACTCATGTTGTGCTTGCAGACTCATGCAATAAAACTGATGGTGCCCTCAAAAAAACATCATCTAAAAGTTTATTTCCAGCAGTACTTTATAAAGAAGATAGCAGGGTAACAATTCTAGAATTCTACTGTGAAATAATTACATGTTTCATACCTTTTATCTTCCTCTGACATTGACCTCGTGGGCTTCAACATAGTGGGGTTCTCTACAGTTGAGTGGCATGAATATACAAGCATAATTTCTCTCCAGCTTTCTAGATCTTATAACCTGCAGTGGCCACTTACATTTGGGATGGTCACAGAAGTATCCTTGCTGATGTTCAGAGAACATGTTGTTCACCACAGCAAGCTCTGCAGGAAATCAAAGAGCTGTTTTACATCCACCTGTCTAGTGCTGTTTTGTGTATATGACTAAATCCCCTATTAACTTCCTATCTCCAGTGTCCCAGTTTCATCTCCCCCTATTAAATTGTCTCCCTGCAGTCAGTTATGATTTCAGAAAAGTATTTCAAAATGGGATTTTTTTCTTTGGAAATCAATTCTCTCACAACGGATCAAGTGGGGAAAGCAGGCGCAGGATGGTGGGAAGTCTCAAGGGAAAAAGAACTGAAAGAACATGTTTAAAAGAAGTTGCTTATGAAATTCATTCATTTCATACCTGACTGCTTCTCTTCCAATAAATAATCGCAGTATGCCAGAGACAGGAATAGGTCTCATTAGATCTCTTGGCTCTTCAAAACATAAAACCTGCATAGCACAGACATGATTCATAAAGGGCTGTAAGGAAACACAAACACCTTGGCACAACAGGAGACTCAGCAACATGGTTGGAAGCACATGTAGAAATCATGACAAAAGCACATAATGAAAGCTTCCCAGAGCTGTGTGTATCCCCACCTCCAAAGTGGATAATAAATCCCTTCTGCAAGATGTGTGTTCCTCCCTCCCTGTTTGCACTCTCTGCCCCATTGCCTCTCTTGGAAAGGACAGCAATTCATTGTGTGTGGGCAAGACCAAAGGTGCCTCAGGAAACTGTTCTTTCACACACACTTGTGGTGTTTTATCTCTCCCAGTCCTGCACATTTGATTGCATTTTACAGCTTTCAAGAACTTCAGAGAGAAAGGCTCAATACCTCATCCCTCTAAGTAATGCAGCTTCCAAACTGCTTTGCTTTTTCCTTATGTGATGCTCCTCATCCTATCACCAAACTGGTAAATTCTTTTCCCTCTCATACATGTAGACAGATTCAAGTACTGGGCAGCAATGTCCTAGGAAGTCCCAGGATATACACTCATTATTCCATGTTTTTTGCAGCCTGTGGCACTGTACAACTCCAAATAGGGTGACCCAAGTTGTCTAGGGCATTTCACACACAATTAATCTCCCCATCCATTTTTAAGGACATTCCTCCTCTTAGCCTTTATGTGTGTGCCTATACATGGGCAATCACTGATAGGGGTCATTCCTGAATTGCATTGGGAAAATTACATTCCTGAATTGAAAGGGAAAAGAAAATCAGGCTCAAAATCCAGTAGGTGCTTTGGGCTCTTCTGACAGGTACTAAGTGCACAGCCATTTTATTAGTGAGTCACACACCTCTAACCAGCTTTCCACTAAGTGGTTGTTTTAGTATGTTTTGACCCACAAACAAATGTCATATAATTAGGAAAATTATCAACTGAAGTGCAGGAACAGGTGTCTCTGCTTGGTATTCCCCCATGCTGCATGATATTTAGATGGGAAACAGCAGATGTGTGTGTGGTGCAGCCTGTAACAGCCCCAGCATCATTGTGGAGGAAAATACTCTTCTCAGGAACAACATACAGAGGTGGGTTGGTCCCACTCTCTGCAGACCCTTTTCTTCTCTCTTAGGGATCCAAAGCCCCAAGGCAGGCACCTTCACTTCTCTCCCTGTGTTTCACTTTGGAGATCAATCAGACCAGACTAATCTTCCCTGCCCATTGAAAAGCAGTGTCTTGGGTCCTTTCTAGCACATGCCCATGCCATTTCAGGGATTGCAGAAGGGCAATGGCCCTGTGGCATTCTGACATCACCCTGCCCATGCTGAAATCCATCCTGCAGTTACACTGTGACTGCTGCCTTGGCCCACCTCACTTGGGAATAACTGATCACAGGACTGGAGAAATGCTTCTGGAGCTCCTCCTGCACCCAGAAGGGTGGGTTTTCAGAGCTGGGAGCAATACTGCATGATAACTAGTGAAACAAAAAACCAAGCTAATTTTAATCAAACTGTATTAACTACACTAGGGAGCTGCTTGAAGCATATGACTTCTGGCCCACAAAGTCTCACCAGTCCATTCCTGCTTCCTTCTCAATTTCTTACACCACAAAATTAATTTCTTTGGAAAGAGGAGAGAATTGCCCTTTATACTGTGTTTTAAAGATGACTCTGTGATTAAAAAGCAAATCTTATTTACTTTCAGATCCCAGCAGGATAGAAAGCTATACAGTTTCCTGTGCCTTGTCCCTGTTTAAGTACCCAAAGAGATTCTATTTAATCTTGTAAAGTACTAAATAATGGGTGAAGGATGTAAGGTGATGTCACTTTTCAAACCTGCTGCTAAAAGGGAAAATGAAGGTACAAAAGCAAGATTCAGCAGCAACTCCAGGCTGTCCCTGACATGGCCAGTGCAACTTCTCCCAGTCCTTCTTTTTAAGGATTCTCCATTCAGGTCAGGATGAGAGCAGCACTCCCAAGTAGCCCTTCTCTGAGGAGAAGGCATTTATTTCAGAGCTGCTTTTGTCTCCTGCTTGCACAGAGTAGAGGGGCAGTGGTCTGTTAGAGGCCACTAAATACAAAGAGAAGGGATGGCTGCAGCTTGAACAAAAGACACAAACCAGGAGGTGGCAGATGCACCAGCCTTCCTTCCTGGACTGTGTCCTTCTAACTGTGGCATCTGTTGTCAGCAGGCATCATCAGAAGCTGAGAAGTAACATGGAAGAGACTTAATTTCTACCCACTGTCAGCTATTTGAAAGGAAAATTGGGTCTGTTTCTCTCATCTCCACTGCCAGCAGGATTTCTGTTGAGCTAGCTACAAATTTCAGACTGCTTTTTTGACATGTTCCTTGCCAGGATCTAGGAGTCCCTTGGTTTCTCCTTTAGCTTCAGCTTCTACTTAGCTCTTTAAAAAAGAAAAAAAATCAATCATTCAGATGCACAGTTCCTACTTTGGACCTACCCTACTTGGTTGATGTCCTGGGGCCATAAAGGGCGACACAGTGATCAGACAACAGCAAAGCTGATCAGGTATGAGATACATCTTCAGCCATACAAATGATCCCACAAATGTTCTCCCCAGAGGCATCTTTTTTCTGCAGAGCACTTCCAAGATGCTTCACCAGCTTCCCTAGAGCCTGCAGTGCTTAGCTCCTTTGGGGAATTGTTCTCTGTCAGTGACATTACTCCTCACTTATTCATTCCTATTCAGAAGCCAGTTAAAAGGGCAGAAAGATTGAATTTAGGAACAGGGAGCTGGAAGATCTGGCTTCCTGGTCTCAAGTCCTGCGGTGTCTGGACATCAAAGGAAGGGCAGGTCAAGCTTTGTACTTGTCTCCTGAGCAGCAGCAGCTCCCACGCACTCTCCTTCAATTTACCTCACTCACCAGCCTTGATTTCTCCATGACTTCTTTCCAAATCTGTCTTCACATCAATGTGTCACTCACTGAGCCACTTTAAATGAGCAATTGAGCAGCTTATACCTGCAGAAATCTATAAAAAAAAACAACTTTGATCCAAATTGATAGGTCATTTTATTTGTACAAATGCAGAAAACTTTCAAAGTAACACCTGAAATCTTCAGTAATGGTGTATGAGATTTCTAGTAAGCACTACATTGGATCCACACGGTTCACTACAGTTCAAAACACCTCTGTGAAAAAGATGACAATCTCAGAAACAAGTTGTTGAATGGACTTCAGAGAGAACACTTGTTCAGGAAAGAATAGATCAAACCTTTAAAACCCAGACCCTGATGCTTCCTGTTGGAAATGCAAATGTGACTGTAATTGGAAGCTGTCAGCTCCCAGGTAATAGTGGCAAATCAGGGTGACGAACCAAGGTAAGAAAGTGAGGTTATAAATGGAGACACACTTTGCTGTCGGCAGGCTGACACAGTCATATGTGAAGGCTGCATTGCAGAGCACTATTTATAACAACACTCATTTGGAATAGCGCTTAACACTATGCCAGGTAGATTTAGGTTTAAGAAAAAAAGAAAGAAAAAGAAAATGGTAGAGGGTGTATTTTTTCATTGAGTTTCCTTCAAGTCTCATTTTCTCCCTTCCACCCCCACAGTGGAATTTTTCCTGTGCCTCTGCTGTGTCTTGTTCCATGATGTTGGACAGGTGCCTTCATGCCCGATTTCAGTCTTTGCCCTCCATCCCTTGTTTATGCAGTGCATAACACCGGTCCCACATTTTTTCTTTGCAGAAAAAAATGGAAAAAATGAAAATGGAATAATGGCTCATTTTCCTCCAAAAATCTGTTTTAAATACATATTCACACTTTAGGGGCTTGTGGTTTAAGCTAGAGCATATCTTAGCAAGATCCTGGTTTTCTGAAGGAGGATCAGAGGGTTTTCATGAGGCACATATCTGTAGAAAAATAATACGACTACCTTCTCATTCTCCTTTAAGCATTTTTTCTCAATATTTGGCCCAAAATGAGTCTGTCCATTGCATGAAAACTACTATGGATAGACAACCTCTGAATGCTGTTGAAGATAAAGAACATGTCAGCAAACAAGAAAAGACAGACTTGAATGGGCCAGTCACAGTAACACTGTGGGCAACACAGTTTGGTGGTGTTACCACCCAAACAAACCATCTCTGTCCAGGCCCAAATTGTGCCCCTGTGGACACACACCATACCTTTGGCTGTACAACAATTGCTCTTAGAGGTGCCTTGAACTTTGCATCAATCACGTGGTGACCCTAAAGGCCCATGGGGTAGAGTACTATTAGATGGCTCATATTAGGTTAGATGGTTCCAGTGTTTTGGCCAGGCCCAAGGTCTCCTGAATTTCAATAAAGTATTTTCTCTGGCAGTTTGGGCTCACACGCCATTAATGTGGTGCAGTCCTACCAGTTTAGTACCAACTTGGCATTGCAGCATTTATGTGAGGAATGAAGCACTGGAGATGGGTTTCATTAGGGGAATTTATTGTGGGGGACAGAACCCTCCTCCTTCTAGGATGGGACCACTGTCATGTTCAGCCTCCTTGTTTATGGCTGGAAAACATCTCAACATGGCAAGGCTATAATACTTACAGAGAAAAGCTACACAAAAATTTATTAACACAGTAAAGTACCAATTTCAGGGTACATTTTATTTGCAATAATAATTACTAATCAGTTAACTTGCTATTTTGTATTACAAGACCTGCATTTACCATCCACTGTCATCTGCTCCCTAAGGCTGACATAGGTCAGCAGTGCAACTCTTGCTTTAGATGGTGGTGCACATTTCTCCAAATTTCCATTGATTATGACTAATTAAGAGTTTATATCATAGAAAGACCAGATAAAATACACTTTAAAAAAGCCATTCTAAAGCTTATGACAGCAGTAAAATATTTTAAATTAAAACTGAAGACTATTTCCTGCAATATATTACTGGTTATGTTTTTGGGCTTCCCTGCTTTAAAGAAATTTATTAAGCTGGAAAATGTCCAACTTTGAGTCAGTTTTATCCCAGATTAGTTATGTGTAGATAATTATATAGGCAGAAGGGCTTGCAGATGCACGTTCCCATGGAGTGGCTAAGTCTCTTTAGAGGGTGACACAGCAGTAGCAAGCTTTATGGAAGGGAGAAAACTCCCAGAAAAAAAGAGAGAAGTTTTTGTCTTGCCCTGCAAGTTTGTGCAACTTCTACACCTCAGCTGGCCACAATAAACTGGTCAACACTGGGATTTCACCTTAGGAGCCAGCAGGAGACCTGGTGTGCATTTCTATCCCCTGCACACTTTATTTCATTCCCTTCTGCTCTGTGCTAATACCTCAGCCAAAGATTTAAATGAGCTGGGGCTGAGAATGCCCCACCAATCTCTGTGAAAGGAATAACACAGCTGTGGTTTCAGGGGATTTAGCAGGCAGGTGCTCTGGGGAGCTCTCTCGTCTGGCATGGAGAGGAGCGCGTTTCACCGCTGCTTTGATTTTAGCACTGGGCTTTTTCTGGTGGAGGTGACGGCCCTGGGGCTGTGGCTTTGGCTCTCTCAGCACTTTTACATCTCAGCCTCAGGCTATCATTCTCTTCCGGTGAGACCTGAGCTACTTAAATCCTTCAATGGTTTCTAAAAACCATAAGAAATACTCAACACCAAGGTCTCCACAAACTCTGTTAGGTTGAAGATCAGACTACAGATGGTGTATGAAGGTCTCTTACAGCCCTAAATACTCCTATTGTGCTTATATTCTTCCCTTACTTAAAGATAATGACAGAGTACATCTCAAGTCCATATTGTTCATCCTTGCCTCTTTTCTAATTTCATGTCTCTTTCTCTCAGGGCTAAGCACATGGCATGAAGGTTTCAACAAAAAATTTTGCTCACATGTTGCATTTACAGAGCCCCACAGGCTGAAGGGATCTCATCATAAACATCTTCACTCACTTTGTTGTCACTATATGCCAATTTCCTGTTTAATTTTAAATATCTCTTCCTTCCATATTGCATAAAACTGCAATAACCTCTACCATTCCTGTTTTGCACATCAAAAGTTGCGTCAATTTCTGACAGCTTTCCTTGGTTTACTGACAATATTTAAACAGTGCATATTCCACAGCACTTGCGGTTACTGAGCTGAGTTTCAAAGTGTTCAGCCCCCCACATTTGCCTTCTTGAACACAGTGCTAGAGGAGAGCACAGCCCACAGGATCTTGGGTCGTGGTCACATTTTCCACACAGATCTCAGCAGGTTTATGATCCATCATACAGCCAAGGGTAAGCATAGCTTGATTTATTTTTTAACCTATCTCTGATCAGGGTCACTCAGAGTGGTTCCACTTTTTTTTGTTTGTTTTCTTTTTGTTTTCTTTTTTGTGTTGTTTTGTTTTGGGGGTTTTTTTGTGGTTTTTTTTGTTTGTTTTTTGTTGTTGTTGTTGGGCTGACACAAAGCAGAAGGATGTACTTACTTGCTTTACCCATTGCACTAGGTTATGCACTTTTTTGTCCCAGGCAAAAAAGCAAAGTATGGCATCTTCCTATAGTTCTCACCCCATGAATATTCTGCACTCAGGAGCTCTGTTGTGCAGGTTTTGTGAATGGATATAACTTATGTTATTTTTCCTTTAGAATTTTTGTTTGTATTTCTGCTGAGGAGATTTTTCTAAGCATCTTTTTCTTAAAAGCCTAAAAATATGTTCAGGCTATATGTACTGGGGCGTGTTTGTGCATAGACTGGGAATGCTGCCACAGGACCATCCAGGAAACACTTCATGATCATATTCTTTCCAGTTCCTCCAAATGTACAGTCCATAACATCAGAAAATGCATCACCAGCAGCTTCCACAAAAGAGACATTTTGTGCCTTGCACTGCCATTGTGATACTGAAAACTACAGCCCTATGGCACAGTCCTGAAGGATATTTATCTAACAGACTCCATAAAATTACTAGTTAGAATTTCTAATTGTTATCATGTGGAAGACACTTAGAAGCCATGGATGGCAGTATGATACCAAAAAATCAAAATTAAAATTCAAGCTCAAAATGGGTACTGCAGAGCTCAAACTCATTCATTTTCTGGTGCATTGCAAAACAACTTGTTCTCCTTCAGAAAGACTTCCTCCCCAGGAGACTGCTGCCAATACTATAGCAGAGGAGGTCAGACTGGAAGGAAGCATGAAGCAGGCAGGAAAAGGTGCAAGAATCCATGCCCATCTCTATTCACAATGAAAAAGAAGCAGATTTTTCTGAACATAGTTACAACACGTGCTGGAGCCTGGGCATCCTGATGTGGGTGAATGTACCTTTGCAAAAGCAGCCGAGAGCCTTGCCAGCTATCGGGCCTTTCTCACAGCAAAAAATGATTGCTCTGGCCCTCCAGTGTCACCTCCTTGGAGCATCCTGCTGGGAAATATCATTAATGCAGCAGCCCCACTGAGAGAAAAACCAGTGTGGATTCACCACACAGGGCCAGTGCCTCGGTGCCAGGCACTTCTATCATTGGCTGCAAACATCCCCTTCCAGTCTGATTTTTCCCTGAAAGGAATCATTATGGTATCTCACTGTGCATACCCTTGCCTGTCTACCCAAGGGTTTTTAACCTCTCTGGTAATTTTTAGCTACACACAGCAAATGGATCTCTCACACACTTTTAGCTACTAGACATGTGTGACAGAGCTGGGTTGCAGGTAGGGAAAAATTCCTCTCTCCTTAGCCCCTGGGAAAATGGCTAATGAGTTTTATTAAGCATCAGCATATCTGCACAGGAAAAAGGCAATGAAAAGCAGGCTTTATAACTTACAGCATGTGCAAAGAAGTCTGGTTTAATGTACCTATTTGCAATGGTCTGTCTGTGCAGCCCAATCCTGGAGTGTCAGTGGATTAACTGTGCAGCATGGATTATATAACTGTGGATTATAAAGATGTCTAGCCTCAGTGGATGGAGATCCTTAACTTCTGCACACCTCCTCTGGTTTTTCAACACACAGCTGTGAGGCTGGGCTTTGCAGTATGATCACAACTAAGATGATGCTAACAAATCCCCTAATGTAATGCACAACTTGTGTTTATTTTGCCCGATCTAGCAAAAGGCTTTACCTGGATAAAACGCTGATTGGTTCTGATGAACTCTCTGCACATATCTAAATAGAAGCAGGGGTCCAAGGTTGTAGTTCTGAACACAAGAAGTTTCTGTGCACTTTAGAAACCCTCATGGTGCTTGTAGCAGCAACATGTCTGTGACTCTGGAAAAAAAAGACAGCTAGTTATACACAAAATATCCAAATAGTAGAATATGAAGATGATGGGAATGTAAGACAGGGTTTATCAAAAGTCTATTGCAGACAGATGCTGTGCAGTTTTCAGCAAATACTTTGCATTTTGGTTCTCTTCAAATGCAGCTCTGTAAACAGTGAATAGTCCCACTGTTAATGACTGGCTTGCTGTATTTATAGAAAGCCAGATGTTATTTAGCTATGGTGGGATTTAACAAGCAGCCTAATAACTGGGGGCTTTTTTTTTTTTTAATTCCCAGCAACTAAATCAGTAAAGCTTTGTTGCACCAACAATCTCAAATGAGAGGGCATCTACTCAAAGTTCAGCAATACCAGCATGACACAAGACAAGGAGCTGATGCTTTTTCTAGAATAAGTTTTGCAATTTGGAGAAAGAAGACCCAAGTGTAAATAGAAACAAATGTTCTAATCCTGCAGTGATTCATTGTAAGATAATTAATCCCCTCTCTGACTCTTTCCTGCTTTCTCTGAATAGAGGCAGTGTTCCCACAACAGATACACAGGAGTATCAGGCACATTGGGGCTCTACTATTGACAGCATCATTTGACATGTCTAAGACACTGATAATAATAATTTTCCTCTTTTCACCAATCCTGCTGGGTGTGGTTTCTCCTCATTTATTTGCTGAGAAAAGGATTTGAGGCCCCAGCAGCTCTGGGCAGCTGTTGTCCATTTCATGCACTCTTATTCCAAACAGGTAGTGCCAAGACTCACAACAGAGGCAAGGAGCAGACTAGAGGGTAGGAAAGAGTAAACAAGTGAACAGCAGAGGAGAAGAGGTCCTTCTGTTTAATTTACCCCACACTACAAGAGAGAAGAGGAGCAAACAAAAACAAAGGTCTGCTGGCTCTGGTGTAGACTGGTTAGGTATTACTTTGATAAATGTTGATGGCAAACTGAAGAATATAAACTATTAATGCTCTAAATCTGAACCCTACAGTGCCATCCTTAGGAGAGGTGGCAGCTTCCGTGCTGCAGGAGCTGCAGCTGCCCATGGCACCCAAGCAGCATTTTCTTCATGACCTTCCTGTCTTCCTAACACAGCGCCACTGAACTATAATGCTCTCCGGAGGCCAGGGCCAACTCAGGCATCTTTCTAAAATGCCATTTCAGCCTGTTACAATTACATGGGAGGCAGCATTACTTCTTTTAATAGTGGGAAGAACATTAGCTCTTGCCATCCTTCTCCCACCCACAGGGAGCAATAGGTTAGGGTACAGTCACTTTTACTTTTGAGAATGCACTGACAGGCACTTCCTCTACCTCCTTCAAGGCCACAGTAAATTTGCCTTTTCAGATGCACACCTCAGCCTTTTGTTAATCATAATGAGCAGTCCTGCTCTGGTTGAGAAGGGGGTTTTATTTTCAAAGAACTAAACTTTTTAAGGAAAGGCTCTATCTCCATTTACTGGCATTTGCAAGGCTCTTTATACCAGCTTGAGCTCCTTCATTTGGTGTGTTTTCTTTTGTCTCCTCTAGAAAGTCCTGCACAAATATATTCATGGCATTTTGTCCCTGCTCTGAGCCTTGCACACTGGAAATATTGCTTCTTTTTCTCAGTCAGCTTCTGGCTGGGTATATGAAGAAATTGAGCTCCCTCTTTCACAACCTGAAGCTGATTCCTTTCCTTTGCACAAGAAATACCCCAGCAGATATTAGCACAAGGCTGACAAGGCTGCCTTTCTTTCTGGGTTTACTTTGAACAAAGCAGAAATCCATACCTCAAATCTGTGATATATGTGGCTCACACTATCAGTATGTTAGCCTGGATTTAAAGGAAATACTTGATCACAGCTCCCCGGGGATCATGAAGCACAAGCTAGGAATGATAGGCCATCTGTCCCAAGATCAGGGTGAAACCTGATGACAGGAGCTGTGTTTGCCCTGCTACCTTCAATGTCTCATTTTGCATCCTGTCTTTCATTACACTCTTTTCCTCTGTTCCTTCAGACTCCAGCACTCAGGCTTTTTGTTCACTCCTGTGGCAGGTAGGGTACACTGGTGCCCCTTAGCACACTACCCCTACCCATGGGAGAAGGATGTCAAACAGCAGCCAGTCTCTCTGGGTTCTGAAGGTGCTAAATATTTAATCTATTTTTAAATAAATTATGTGCTCAGTCTGCAGGGCAAGGCACTGAAAAACAGTTTAGAAACTAAAAGGAAGCAAAGCAAGAAAATGTAGATGTGGAGTTGAAGAGCCTGCTGCCCTGTTCCACAGAACAGTACTTTCCTTGTTGGGCAGCAAGTCATCTTTGGACAGCTTCATAACAGCAGCTATTATTAGCTGGATTGTGCTCCTTATTCTCAGCCTTCTCCCTCTTTAAGCTCAGCTGATTTTGCTACTCACTGCAGAGGAGTCACAGGCAGATGAACCTGTTGTTGTTAAGAGCCCGGTTTCCAATCTTGAAACCCTCTGTTCATGCACCTACATCTGCACTTAGACCTAAAATTGGCACTTGACACCCACTGTAAGAGGTAAGTGCTGACAGGCTTTCTGAATAATCAGTGTGCAGGTGTTTAATTGCTGAATTAAAAACCTGATTTTGAAAATTGAGCTCTAAGTATCTGTATTTCTGTAACCAACTCTACTATCAACTTCAGACATGCATCTTGGGAAAATAGTCTGGCTATGAGGGCCAATTCCAACACTTTTGAGTGCTCAGCCTCATTTTTGTGCCTCTCCCATCCCATTTTCCTCAGGTGCCCTCCCCTTTCTGCCTGCTCAGATGCAGGGTTGAAAATGGCAAAGGGAATAACCAAAAGCAACTTAAAACTCTCATCACTTCTGCTTCTGAAAGTCTTCCCATGGATTCCTGTCCTTCCCAGCCTATGTGAAAACTTGGGGGAAGCAGGTTGAACTGGGGTTCACATCTCAGTTACCATTTCAGTGCTGCTTTTCAGCTGCTCTGAATGGCCTCTTTTTGTTGAAAGACTGCAGATGGCATTTGAGCAACCAAATTATTTTTTTCTTATTTCAAAGACAAAGCCTTAAGAACACTCCTGATTAAAATCAAAGCTGGAGGAGGTCAGCTAAGAGTGGAGTACAAGATTTCTAATGGCAAGAACCAGTAAGCAGCAGACATTCCCAGACAACACTGTGACTTCTCTTTTTGAATTCATTTAGTCAGGACTATTGATCTTCATGGAAATTATGTTTTAGGTAAAGAAGCTTTGCCAGGTTCACTGGCAGGAGGAGCAGAGTGTTTTCTCTCCTATGTTTTGAAGGGGGGTCAGCAGATGATACTGGCTCTATTCTGGCTCATTTTAGCACTCCACTGTAAAGAAAAAATTGTTCTGACCCAAAAAGTACTTAAAAGAAACAAAGCCCACTTCACCATTAAACAGAAGAAGATTTCCAACACTTATCTGGAAGAAAACTTTATGATCTGCCTATGAATGTTGTTTTGCCCAAAGATAAACTGTCTGGAGACACTTATTATTAAGAGAAAATCTTGAGATTCAGGTTACCCAAAAGCTAATATAAATAAAGCAGGGGAAAGGAAGGAATATTTTAGAAAGGAAGCTAGTGATATGGGTAAGAGTGTGCTACAACAAAACCAAAACCATCTGTACAGCTGAACGTGATCTCAGTACAGAGAAAAAGCCTTTTTGTTTAAATATCTTTTTCAAGGAAAGGAACCAAAACAGTTTTGCTGGCATTGAGTAGGCACATTTGGGAAAAACTAAACTCCAAGTGCTAGAGATGTGAGTACATAAATTCCTGAGCATCTTTGCTCAGAACATTCCTACATCAGACTCATATTTTGGATGCTGACAGGTATCATAAGTCTGGTTTTGAAGTTGTGTAGCTGTGAGTGTTTTGGAATTTTTTTTAAACTAAGTACTGGCATATTATTGGCCATGGCTGGCCAATCAGCTGCTGAAAAATGATATTCTCCTGTTTCAGAGTTTGCCCTTCCTCCTACGCACACGCACCTAAGTTTAACAGCAACCATGGCAGTATTGCCAAGACTTCAAAGGATGTAGACAATAAACATTCTTGGATTCATTAAACACTGAAAACAAAAGGCTTAATTTACATACTTAGCTTTACACATGCACTTAAACATACCTGAGTGGAGTAGACCTCAGGTTTCATATTGCAAGGCCCCTGCAGATGGTTTAAGTTTAGGGCAGTACTAGCCAGCTGCCAGGAATATTTCCTCTTGTTGCCATAGAAAACTGTCTCTCCTTGTCCCATCCACAATGCAGAGCACCTCCTGCCTCTTCACAAAGCCTTCATACCTGGCCACACAGCACATCTTAAAGACAAGATGAGAGCAAAACATGGGTCCAAACTCTGGCCTCAGTCACCTCCTGAAGCAGCATAACTATTACCTAACACAGGCACTACGTCTCACAGTGGAGAGTCTTCCTCCATCAGACCATTGTGTGAGAGTGACCACATTTGACTCTGTATTTTATATTATTCTCTTCTGACCTTTCTTTTCAAACAAGGAATTTTTTCTACCTTTTTAAGAAATGCCCTTCCAGTGCCACTGTATCATGCTTTACTATTTTACACAATTGCCTTTGTAAGGAACAGTCAATAAAACCCACTCTGCTGCTACAGATATTTCTTCCCATCCTGCATAGCTCCTACTCAAGGTCCCAAAGGATTTCCTCATCCCCACATCTTGACTAGTCCTTTCAACAAATCACAGCTCCCTCCTTTATGCTTTTCTTCCTGTTTTGAGCCTGAGCTTCATCTCTGAAATTACTCCCCACAGTCTCCCAAATGGAAAAATTCTGAATTTTCTCACCAGGAAGTGGCAGATGTGTTTGAAGGAGAAACCAAAAAAAAAAAAATAAAATAAATGCATGGCACAGGTCCAAAGACTTGTACTAGTCTTCCTTGACTTCTGAACAACCCTTGGGGACAGAATCCTAATTCCAACTGCCAGCCCCAAGATTTTGCACCTGCTCCCACAAAATAGATTAGATGTAGTTATATAGACATCATGGCATCTGACACCAGAGGACGTGCAGGGAGTTGCCCCAGAAAGTGACAGCAAAGCCCTGCCCAACCTACTGGTCATTGTCACTGTTGTAATGCAATGGCATGGGACAAAATCCAGCTCATTTATCTCTGATTTAGACTGCTCACTGAGGTGTGAGGGACACATACAGCCTCTTAAAAACAAAAAACTCTCAGCCTTGGAGATGAGGTACAGCTCTTCTACCTGGACAACGAGATCAAGGCAGTCTTGCACACAAAGTCTTTTGAGCCCTAAAGACTAAATTCACAGTCTTTTTTATCTTTTTCCCCCCTCTTTCTAAACAAACTGTTACCCTCTTTCTCCCAAGCACCGCCTTCAGTTTTCCTCACTACTGCATGCTCCTGGCAGTGTCTTAACTTCCTGAGACAGACTTGAAGAGTTTGTCCCTTAGCCCTGAGAAGGTAACTAATAATTGCAATAAGCAGTGAGAGTACAGTGTGGTTTTTTACAGTGTCTTGTTGCTCCTTCCTCCATTTCTAAAGCTATTTTAATACAAATAGCAAACATATTTCTTTTAGTAACACAATGCAACCTATTTTGATGAAATATGTACTAAAATTATTCCAATTATTCGTTGCTATTTATTTTCTAGTAATTTTTTCTATAAGGAATACAAGCACGCTTTATTGTATATGGCTCACTCTGCATAGTAGTTCCTGTTTAAATTTAGCTTAGTCTTACCTTATACCCATTTAACTTTTCTGAAAGTTTCAGACCAGAGATATCACTTATTCCCTTTGTTGCTTACACAGATACATGTCTGTAAGAGCAGCAGTGAAGCTCAGACAGTGGCTAATTCAATCTTCTGGGTCCTCTGGAGCTTTGATGTGTTGTCAGAGCAATTGGAAAGCCATGGCTAATCTGAATTTGGTAAGGGATTTAATATCAAGCTTAGATGAAATAAATCAGATGGAAAAAATATGGCATCAAACACACATGGTGGGGTGATCATGGGGGTTAATTGGCAACCTTTCCCTTTGATCATGATCCAAGCATCATTGAGCCTAAAAAACCAGATGTTTGGTTTGCTACCTTAGGAAGAGGCATGGGGTATGTGTAGTCATAAAAAAGAAGTCATGATTTTTTAAATACTAACTACAATGCAAGAACTTTTAAAACTTTCTTTGTACAAGTCTTGTCAAAGACCTTTGAAATCAAGCAGGCCATAGATGAGGTGAATTTAATTGATGGTTTGGGTTGTGTGCAACTTTTCTACATCAAAGTTCTCTTTGGATAATAAAACATTGACTACTTTCATTCCCTTTGGTTCATATTTTTTTAATTTTGAAACTTCACTATTCTTGTCAGTAAGAAACTTTTTCAGGTACACGTGTGGAATCACACGCCTAATTGTATTCTGAGGACAGAAATGCAGGAAGAAATTCTGCATTGTGGTCCACCAGCAGCTCTTCTGTCCCAGAATCCACACACTGTGGTGGAATTTCCTTTCAATGACTCTCATGCTGCTCAGTTTTATTTTTCATGCCTTCCTACAGCCAACAGTTCAGTCATTAACACAGTGACTTGCATTGCTCTATAGGAAGAATAGATATTTATGATGGTAAGATGGGACCAAAAAATACTGCTGCACACACCAAAACCTGGCAGAATAGTTTGAGTTGAAAGGAACCTTAAAGATAATCTAGTTTCAATGCAGGGGAAACTACTAGCAGCTTCTCAGACAAGCCACCCCTGCAGCCTCTTTGCTACCAAAACCTTGTCATACAAACTTAATCCAGCAGGTTTCTCTGATTCATCCAACAAGGCAAGATCAGTAACTGTTATTCCAGAAAATACATAGACTAATTCTGTCTCCAGAAACAGGGGAATCTAAATGCTGCTTTAGATGGCAAATTCTACCTGTACTCTCACAGCCAACCTCCTCCCCTTTATTTATGCCTGTTCTGGAGACCATGCTTATAAGAATTCATTCACTGTCTTTAAAATGCACAAATTGAGACTTATAACCTATTGTAAGAAGACCCATGCAGTGTATCTCTAAAACAGAGCAATTGTAAGACTTCTCATGAGATATTTACAAAAGAGGTCATAACAGATACAAAAGAAATGCTCAGTCTGCATAAAATGTCTCCTAGAACATTTTAGAGGTCTGAACACATGACACACAGGGTGGAAGCCCCAGCCTTTTTCTGGCATGCAGCAAAACACTGGTTATAAGATCCCCTTAGACAACTCCTAGGCAATCTGATAACAATCTGAGCTTCTGGTGCTCATCTGAACTGAGGCACCCCAACCCTTTGATGTTTTCTCATCATTAATTAATTCAGCATCAATGTTAATTGCCTACACAACACACAGAATTGACAGTACATCGAGGACTCAGCCTGCCTGTTTCGTAGCTGGCTAACTGGGGATGCAAATGCTTTGCTGCTCTCATTACTATTCTTGTCAGGCCAGACATGAAATAAAAGCAGTGACACTCTTCCCCCACCAAACACAGTCTGTTGTGGGTGCAAGTCAGATCTGATAGCTACCAACAAGAGAAAATGGACTCAACTGGCATCACGACAGAAATCCACAGACTATTTTTTCCCTTTTAATTATTAGCTTCAAAAGATAAACACTGACATTAAGGCAGGCTTAGAAGATGCAGCACAAAACCTTTGTACAGACTCTCACTGCGGGGACTAATTTGCAAAAATTAATACAAACTGGAGACAAAATAATAATATTTGACAGATGTAAAGCAAAACCATCCTGAAACGAAGAAGAAAAGACAAAAGACTTCTGCCTTCACTGCAAAGAAAGTGCATCATTAACACCATGAATCACACCAAAGTTAGTCCAGGCTCAAACAGCTCCAGCAGCCAGCACAGTGACCCAGTGTGCCATACACCTTGAATTACAGCTCCCACACGGTCCAGATGTGCAACTCCCTGTGCTCTGCCCAGCGAGGTGATGGCATTCTGACCCACAACGTGCACATCTCACAGCTCATGGCTTCCTGTGTGTCTTCCCCGTGCTGAATTGCTGGAAAGTGTGACTCCACAGTAGTTCCCCATTCCAAACTCCTCTCTGGCAGCTCAGACTGATGGAGGCTCTGCTCCTGTGCAGACCTGGCTGATGTTGGGTAAGGTAACCCCACAGTCAGCTTAGCCTCAAGCTCCTTTGCTTTTTCCAGCAGTCTCAAATCATCATCCCCCAAACCATTTTAGGGCTGGGCCATCAGAGACTGACCAGGTAAACAGGTTTATCTTGATCTGTATATTTTACTAAGCCTGACTGGGTGCGATTACACCGTGGTTGGTGGTTGCCTTGGCTGCATGAAAAGAATGAATGCCTGGCAGCAAGAGGTGAAGAGAGGGGAGGGAGCCCAGGATGGGGGAGTGAATGGCTTCATCCATACAGCTGCAGCTGGAGCAGGATGTGTGAGCACAGCCTGGATCCTGTTCTGCAAGCCCTGTGCTCAGCCATTCCTAACTCAGCATGGCAGATGAATAAAGCAAGCAATACTGAAGCTATTTCCTTCTGCAGAGATTGCAAAAGGTTGGCAGCCTGATTCTCTTCAAATAACCAAGTCAATCTTTTGCCCTGGGAAGCAAGGTTTCAATCTTTCTGGAATCTAGGAGTCTAAAATCCCACTAATGTTTGTGTGCCTGGTGGCAGGGGAATGCAAGCTTCAGAGGAGATTTTGACATCTTTTATCTATTCCTTTTAGACTCCAAGGAGAATGGCAGAGATACTTTATGGTATAATCAACTTTCCCCTGCTGTGAGAAAGGCATGGTGGGGCAGGTCCAAGATGCCCAGAGATCATCAGAAAAGCTGGTTTCAACAGCTAGACAAGCCAGCACACTGTACTTGAGGACTCTGCTTGAATATGCTCTAAATGCCACAGCAGCTAGCACAGGAACTACTCAAAGCCCTCATTTTCCTGCAGAAAGGCAGTGTTTCACTCAATCACCTGGTAAGCCAGCAACATTTCTCCCTACTCCAGAGACTTTGAAGACAGGTTTTCTGCTTTCACTCACAGTACAGAGCAGATCTATTCAACTACCTCTGTGTCAGTCCTGTCCCTGTTTGGCTTTGGAGTTTTCTAAGGCTAAAATTGCAGAATCTCTCTGTTTCTGCCCTCATGGCATCCTTAATGCACAACTAAGAAGCAAACACACACTCATTGCCATGCTACCTTCTTCCAACACCACATTTTTGTGAGCCAAATGTGGCTCTTTGCAGGACCATCCCTCTTACCATGCCAAATGCGTGGGGAAGTGTCTGAGAAGACACAAGAATTTCACTAGGCATGGCTCAAACACTTTGACACAATCTTGTTACAGATTAAATCCCTGTAAAACTGGGCTGACTGCTGTAAGCTTCGGGTTTGTGACACTTTTCTCTACTCCTTTCCTGCTGTTACTAAATCAAGTTTCCAGATCATTGTGTCAGTTTCTGTTTAGATGCTTAGAAGGCCTTGAGGTTTTATATACTTTAATCCATCCCAGATTTTGGGGGGGGGTTCATCTCATGTATTCTGGCTCAATAGCAAGCCAGCAAACATTGCAGCCCTGAGGCCGGAGTTACTTTGAAATCCCACTTGTGGTGCCTGTGAGTGTTCAGCAAGTAGTCAATAACTAACTGCATTCATTTTCCCCAGCCTAGGAGAAATCCCAGTTTCAGCTTGACAGAAATTATTAGCAGAGGTTTTAGGCATACCTTTTTTCTTGCTTTGGTTTCAGGCTTTTATCATCACAATGCCACTTTGGTCAACTTTGTATCTCCTGTGCTGCAAACAAAGAAGGTGATAATTTGCAATGTTTGCACTTAATTCATCACCTATAATTGTTTGTGTCACCTGAAACCTGTGGCACAGCATGGCATCAGTTTCTCCACTCTTGGCAAATACGAACCACACATACACTGAAAGAAATACCTGTGAGCATTTCATTTGGTGGCACAGTGTAATTTCCTAAGTGTACTCTGAGCAGGAGAGAAGAGTCCTTAACCTTCTCTTGCAGCAGCTGCAAAGCCGACATGTGCCAAAGCAGATGAGAGAACTCTGCCCCAAACAACACAACAGCCCAGGCAGATATCGAGTGTTGAGATAAAGTTTGAGCACTCTCTTCCCCTTTTTCCAACATGTGAGCATCCAGTGAGGAGTCACTGCATTCTTCCAAGTCCCTTGTCCCCCATTCCTACACATCTAAACCAGCCATGGACGGATCAGCAGTCAAGCTTCCTGGGCAAGGGATGAGAAATTAGAGCTACAGTACTAGGCTGCAAGCCCTCAGAGTTTCAGCTCTAGAAATGAAGCTGTATCCATAGGCAGGATGGACAACCTGCACGTTTGGACATAGAGAGAGGCCCTGGCTTGAGGACGAGGGGACAGAAAACCATTCTGGCAGGCAGGGACTCTGGAAGCTTGCCTCAAAGCAGAGTGGGTACAAAAAGGAGGACTCCAGTAAGCTCAGAATAAAGTCACATATAAAATACACACTTTTTGAATCTTAAGCAAGCAGAGATCCTGTTCACCCACTTACTCTGTTTAGGAGCAGAAAATCCGTATCAGAGTCTGTTCTGGGAAATACCTGTGTGCCAAACCTGTAGCTCCACAAGAAGGAAAACTTTTATTTATGACTCAGTCAAAAATGGCACTAAGCCCAAAGTCATTATCAGCCTACTTACTGGTCCATGCCCACAGAACCAAAACAACCTTCCCCCAAGAAAACCTACAAATCCACAGAGGTTAGCTCCAAACCAAGGGACTATTTGCTGGATCAGGTGCTGTCTGTCCTCCTAAAATGAACATATCGTGCTCCCCAACTGATTTAAGGGAACTCTAACCTCATGTATGGCAAGGAGATCCTACAGCACTCAGGTTTGGTACAAATGAGTGAAGTCACCACCATACTTACCTGCCAAGGCTTGCTGTAGTCACAGAAATGGATGATTTGGATTTCCAGGAGGATGCACCTGCTTCCCTTTTTTGATTAAAAATTTCGTATATTACATGCCTGAATTCTGTGCGCCATGATTATCCCCTTTTGGGAGGTACAGTCCCTTACAAATAGGTATCACCATTTGAAAAAAAAACCAAAAAAAACAACTTGAAAAGCCAAGGTTAAGTGGCACAGAAAGGTAAAATGCCCTCTCCAAAAGCATCCAAGGAACCAGTAACTGTGCCAAGTTATTGCCTGTCTTCTCTTCTGCCTCATGCTGCCTTGCAGCATGAATTAGCCATCTGGCCTTCCCTTTTCCTTGTGCTTTGCTGTGCCAGCAGAGCTCGGCTCCACCATGTGTGCAGAGTTATATTTAGAGAGAAATTACTTCAGCCCTGTCCGGCCAAACAGGCAGGAGCAGGGGTTTTTGATGCCTTGCTCCTACACAATTAGACAGGGACAGCAGAGCTGGCCCTAACACTGGGCATGCTCCACTTCCAGCCCTGCCAGTGCCTGGGCAGTCATGAGATGGAAAACAGTGTGCTAGCTGATGTAAAAGTAGATAAAAAATGGGGGAGGAATGGCAAGAAAGGGCAGTGGCTGTCGTGTGCTTTTCCAGAGAGCTCTGGGGAGGAGGCAGCCTCTTGTTGCAGCCCTCAAACCATTTCACCTTCTCTCTGCACCTCCACACACTCAAAGTCTCTCTGAACAGTAGCTACCTGCTTGGACTGTCTCATGGTGTCACTACACATCTCCCCCTGCCCTGGGAGGGTTTTTCCTTTCCCTTAAATCCTGCTCTTGTGCCCTGCCACTCTCCATCTCCCTCTTAACCTTTGCAGTATGAGCACTTATGCCTGCAGCCTCTCTCAGCTTGTTTTCCTTCCCCTGTCCAAAGCTCTGCACCCCTTGCACTTCACTCCTAACGGGGTTTGCAGCTTTGCTTTGGAGCAGGAGGGATAACAGAGTAGGTTCCTGCCAAGCCAAGCACAATGCACACAAAAGAAGGCATAGAGATGGCAGAGTGCATTTGCAAGCCTGAGAGACTTCACAATAAAATGCCTTTTCTTCTTTCTTGTTTTGTTTTGTTACAGGGAAATAGCAACTGGAAAGGATTCTCCTGCAACTTTTGTGTGCTATGTTTGCTGACAGACAGATGATGTCTTGATTTTGAAACCCAAAGACCACAAACAGCATCTGAAAGGCCTTTTTCTCCCATTTTATGCAGCAATCTCCTGACTCTGAAAAACACATGCAATCAGAGAGGCAGTTGTCAGCAAGCACCAGTTCAGGTGCTGAATTACAGCCAGTGGCCCATATCCCTGCAAGCACCTGCCCTTCCTGCTGGTGGAGGGAACATGCAGGACATGACCTTGGCACACCCCTGGGACCCTGGCAGGACCTTGAGTGTGCCTGCAGAGGGTTAAGGGTGCTAGACTTGCAACAAGGGAATTTCATGCTCAGGGAAGGACCAGTGTGATATTAAAGACATGCATATGGGGCCAGGAGTGACTTCTACTGGGATTCTGCTCCCCGTATGCTGCCTCTTCTTCACTTTTCCTCCTGTCCCTGAAATGGATTGTGAATGTTCTGGCGATGGGTATTCTCTGCATTCTCTGCCCAGAGATGTTGATAGAGAGCCATTTAAATGCAAGATGTGCACCTCAGTGCAAGCAGCACCTGGCCCCTTCCTGGCAGCAAGCAGGAAATACCATGCTTCAACATAAGTAACAAAAGAATTTTAAAAAGTTATCCCTGGTTTTCGCTTTTTGTGCACTCTTACCATCACACTATATTAATGTAAAGTGTGTGAGCTTTGAAAGTCACAGCAGCCCAGGCTATGCAGATGGGTCTCACTGCACTAATTCAGGCTCATCTCACATCTGCCAAAGATTTGTCAAGTCCCCTTTTCCTTAATGCTTTAAAAACCTCCAAAATTAAGGAAGTAAAATGCAAAACCACAGCAAAGTAATGAGTACAAAGAAGGATTTATCCTTTTCTTAAGCATATGCACCATCCTTTTCTCTTTCCTTTTAATCTCTCAAGCTCATCTGACTGCAAAACTCAAAAGGCTACATTAGCCTAACTTGTTCTGTTGTTTCCCTTTCTCTACTCAATCAGCAGACATAACTTTCCTCTGGAGCAGTGAAGCTTTACAAGCTTTTGCAAACTAATTCCTAATAAGGATAAATGAGCAGGCTGCCTTCTCTTTCTCCTCAGGCATCTCCCAGGGTATTTTCAGAGGCACTTCTGTGGGTTTGAATGGAACACAACACCACACCCTCTGCAATAACCTCTCTCTCAGGAGCCTGGCACAGCCCAAGGGTGAGCAGAAAGCACATGAGATCCCAAGGCCTCACATGTCACCACTAACCCATAAGGACCCAAAGCCATCAGTGCCCCCAAACCTTGCTTCATGGGTTTACCTCCTGTAAACAGGCATTTGGCTCCTGGGGACTTCTCTCCCAAAACTCTTGCCTGTGAACAGGCAATATCAATTTTGTTTTCATATCTTTTTCCAAAGCTGATGGTTTTGTTCTAAAAGCTCAGAGAACCTTCTTAATTAATTTAAGTATATGCACCAACATTCAGCACTTAAAAGACACCCTCTAGCTAATTTGGGTTTTTTCCTTTGAGGTTGCCAGGCAATATAAGCACAAATTTCTCTTGAAAACCCAGGTGAAGATGAGTTTAATGTGAATGCACTCCAGAAGGCACTAAGCCCTTTGCCAGCTGAAGGCTGGGCTGGCTCTAAAGCCTCTTCTCCACCATCCCTTGCAGTTTCTGCTTGGGGGGTAGCTCACAAACCATTGCTCAGATGTGTTCTTGCTCTCAAATGAGAGTGTGAGGATCATCACATCACTGATATTAACCAGATGTTCAAAGCACGATGCAGGTACCCTGGCTCCCCTCTGCTTCCTCAGAGACCAACACAGTTCATCTGAGGAGATGGGCAGCAAATCCTGAGTAACCAACAGGCAAGGGAGACATGAAACAACCTTCCTGAAGATGCCTGAGACTGCAAGCTGACAGAGCATTAATTTCACTTTTTAATCAAAATGAAAGTAGCTTATAGGATTTTTTTTTTCATACTCAATTATGCAAGCACGGTCATTTTTAAAGAAGGGTATTAGGTTACTAGTGGGTTTTTATTTTAAAAACATATCTACCTGATATCACAGAACATCACTGCAGAAAGCATATCTGCAGGGTCAAATGGCATTTGAAATCTGAGTAAAAAAAGCCCACTTCGACAGTTGTTTTCACTGAGCTGCAAATTGATTGACAAATTATTCATTGCACACTCAGACATGTCTATCTTTCAGAAAAGAGAAGCAAGTTCTCTGTTCTCTGCTGATTTTTATCCCCAAACTATTTTCTCCCCAAAAGCATCTTGCATTCAAAGAACTCCGTGAACAGAAAAGTAATAAAATACCACTTCTGCTGACTTGTATTAAAAAAACCCTTTTAAAAGGTTCAAATTGTGATTGTAGAACTGAAATATTGCTAGCCCACAAGCAGTTGGGAAAAATACATATAAATTGCAGTTTGGTGTTTTACAACAATTATATTTTAGCTCTTAAACTGACTTGCAATCCCGACAGATTTACTGCACATTCAAATTAACATACCATAGCTGAATCTTACTATTGCCATAACTTTTATTCAAACAGTCATATTTCTAATGGCAGGAACTATGCTTTTACTGTTGGATAATTTTTGCTAAGTAAAATAAATACCCTGTTAGACTCAGGCTTTTCCCCATAACTCAGCTGGTAACAGTGCCACTCAGCACCAAAAGCTAAATTGCTCTTACAAAGAAGTTGTGGCATCATGTGTTTTTACTCTTTGGGGGATGGAGGCAGTAGAAATTTAAGAGTGGAAAGGGGTCTGGGAGTTAAAACCAATACACTGTTCTGGCTTGGGGGCCATTGTCTACTAACATAAAAATGAGTGATGCTTCTGGAGCACCTCAGTGAGACCCCACAGGTTTTTGATCAGCTCAGCACAGTGCCACCAGTTTTCCTTTTTGGTCAAATTTTGGGTGTAAGGACAATCTTGAATGCATTTCGGTTATGGCAATACACCTTGTTACCATCAACCAGATCCAACCCTAAAACCAGCCATGCCCACCAAGATGCACTTAACCCCAGTGGTAAAGGGAAAATGCAGGGTATTGTGCCTGGGAATGGGCAAAAGCACAAGTGTGGAGAGTGACTTCTCTCACAGACTATGCATTGCTGTGAATTTATCACATTTAAACATGTGCCCATTTAGTTTTCCTCTGAGCTTTTACACAGCTGATGTAAGCTCTGATCCCTGTTAACCTTTTGCTCTGTCCCTGCTCCTCACAAGCAACTTTGGTTTAAGGATTTGGCTGCTCTCAGTCTACAGACCAATAATTGTAGTTTGAGGTAATTCCCACTATAAAGACTTCAAAAGTATTGAGGTGCAGTTTCACAATAATGCCAATTTATTTTTAAAAGAAAAAAAAAAAGCCCACAAAACTTTGAAAAGTATGTCATACCTATGACAAGCTGAAACCTTCTAAGGCCTCTAGAGAGGCTACCTGGAACAGAGGCTGGACAGAGTTAAAGGAATAAAGTAGGTATTTATTAAAAGGCCTTCAAAGGATACACCTTGGGCAGTGCAAGAGCCCAGCTGTGCCCATCCCACCCAAGATGGATGACTAGTCACAAGTTTTCACACTTTTATAAGTTTTGGACCATTTATATATTGGAGTTAATGGTCCAATTCCAGCTTCAGGTTATGAAGTCCCATCCTCCCAGATTGCTTTCCTCAATTTGCTGTTGTTTGTACTTTTTGGACCTGAAGCTGCAACGGTGTCCTTGGTTCTCAGGCTGGAAAAGGATTTTTTTGTCTAAATAAACTGTGGAGAGAACTTGCTAACACTTTATATGAAGTTCAGAGCTACACAATAAGGCAGTACAGAATCTGAAAAGTATGAAAGCAAAAACTTCAGACATCATCTCAACCGCAGGGTTAAAAACTAATATTTACAGTTCACCTGGCCAGAGCTACAACACAGTGATACACATCCCACAAAGATTAGTGATTTGACATTTCACATCGAAGTCATGGCTCACAAGGCAAAGTCTGCTCTCTTCTCCACGAACCAGCTCAGCCACACCTTGTAGCACTTACACTTGAACTAGTGAAAATCAAGGCCAGTATCTGAAAGGATGTATAAAGATCTCATTTGTCCCAACGCAATGCACAGACTTGAAGTTAGCAAATCTAAAATGCAGGTGACTTTCAAATCTCACTGTTTAGGCACTCAAGAACTAAAATACTCAGTATCATCAGTTGTTTAACATGATTGATGTGTTCCAAATGAAAAGAGATAGCTTTGGGGTTTTGGGTCAGGTACAAATGCATCCAGCTTCGCTATAAGAATAAAATAGTACTACAATGATTTGACAGACACTATTGCCATACCCGCAATCAAAATGGGCACTTCCTCTAGCTACAAAGACTTTCTTTGTCTTCACTGCTAAGAAACATCACTTCATTACCTTGGGCCAATGCTGAGAAAGGGGAATTTATTATTAAATTCAAAAGATGACTTCATTATAACCTTGCTGGTCTGTTGATAGTTCATACATAAGCTACCATACACATACATCAGCCAATTTTTACCATTTGTCAATTTGGATGTCCCATATATCAGTACAGATGGGAGAAAAAAGTTATTATGTCCAATGTCCCTTGCTTACACAAAAGTTCATACTGAATTTGATGTTTCAAATCACACACTTGACAATTTTATTGTTGTCAGTGATAAAGGCAAAAGCTCAAATGAAACCAGTGTCCTTTGCTGTCAAACACAAGGGTATCTCATGTCTTGAATGCCATCACAGGCAGGAAATTGCCTGCCCTGGTTTCAAAGAGAGATTTCTGGAAGAAGAAGGGAATGACTTCTTGACAAACCGCACTCTTTTTGAAAATTGTCTGTCAATCAAGGAAACCAAATCTCTGATTAGATGTTAACTCTTTCAAGTTGTCCTAATGTTGTCCACACAGCATATTTAGGTGCTTTCTTTGGGACAAGGATATTTGTCAGACAGAAGCTTAGTCTCAAAAATGTTACCAAAGTTTTTCAGCCAATGACTTGAATTTACTAAAAAATTCCTTGTCTGCTTTAGCCACCATTTATTTATCATCTCCTGTGCCAAATGTGTTAATTCCCTCAATGCTCAAATAACCCTTTGATTTGACTCATAAACCTGTGAAGAGGCCACAACAGTATTCACAGCTCACACCACACTTATGGAAACATGGGATACAGGAGCCAGCTGGCAAAGGCAAAACTCAGTAACACAAGCCTGGACAACAGGAATGCTCAGCAGGGAGGCTGTGCAATAGCATCTTAGCTTTAAAAAAACCCAAACCACACAAAGAAAGAGGATCCCAGCACAGGGAAATCAGATCATGTGTGTTTGCTTTGTGATTGCAAGAGCACACGTCTCCCATAGGCAGCAGCTGGATCAGTTTTGGCAAAGCCCCTCTCTGAAAACCTGCCCCTTCTGTTTAGGAACCCCACAGCTCCTGTTCCCAAAGATGTGATGTTTGTTATTTGTGTTTGTACAGTACCTAGAGGAACAACACTAAGACTTTCACCAGCAACATCTCTAGGCATGACTTCAAAATAAATTTCAGCACTGAATCTAGAAACTGTGGAGTTACAGAAGAGAAAACAGGGAAGTTCACAGCAGCCCTTCCCTCTTCTCTCTCTGGGACATCAATTAGGACTGACCAAATTGTGCTCCAGGGAAGGTAGAAGGGAGATTTTTTTTTTTCAAAATCACACAAGATATTATTGAAGAAATTGTAAACTTGAAGGCAGTGCTAAAATGAGCAGCATGTCATACAGCAAAAAGAGTTAGGATGTTGTCTACAGTAAGATGTTTAAAAAGTCAAAACAAAATCAGGGATCAGACACTTGCGCTGCACTTCAAAGCTGCAACAACAAATACTAACAGGGTTATATAACCTTCTGCTTCAGGATTTAAAGTAATCTCTATGATAAAATTAATACAAAGGTCAGATTAACCAGTTTCTGCCCACTCCACTGTCTCCCAAGGCAACTGGGTAAAGTATTCAGAAGACTCTCAGACTGCTGGGAGGTAACTTTTCACAGCATGCTCTGGGTCTGATTGGAAGTGGGATTTCAGCCCATGCATCATTTAGCTGCTTTTGCAATTTTTATCTGAGTTGCTCTCCACTCTGAGACCACATCTGGCAATATCTACAAACTCTCTCTACTCATGAAAATGTGATGAATACCAGGGTTTGCCAAGGAGATTCATATTAAATCTAACAGCTTTATAATAGTCAATAACCTACCTGTCAGGTCCAAGTATTTTATTAAAGACCATACTAATGGCTTTTCTCTAATATTACAATATTGAATTCCGTAGGTGGGCTGCACCATGAAAAGAGAGAATGTCACCTTTTCTATTTTTGTAGCTAAATAAATACATATATGCGCAGGGGAAATCTACATTAGTTCACTGCACACTTTTGAAACACCACATCTCTCCTGACACACAGAGTGGCATTTATACTCCTCCACATACTCTGATTTCTGGGCTGCCTCTCTACACGTTCCTCTCTGCTGAATCTGGTCTGGGACAGTCTCCTACTGAAATTGCTCTGTTTCACTCACTGTCAAAAATATTTTCCTCCACTTCCTTTCCAATATGGTAGCATTACTCTTGGCTAACACCAGCGGCTGACTGCATGCTTTTTTGAAGCATCCTGAAGTGGTGATAGTCAGTGAGACAAGCATGGGATGGGCACAGCTGGAATCTGGAAGTGCCGTAATTTAGGCAGCAGCACCTTGCTGTATCTCGTAGCCTAGTCTCTCATCACAGCACCTAATCTCACACTACTGCCCAACACAGTTAACTCCTCCCATCTCTGACCCTTTCTGGTGAAAAAACATCTTGTCCTCCCTTGAGGTTGCATTGCAGACTTCAGCTTCCCCAAAGGGCTCAGATTTCTCCCCAACAGGCATCCCAGAGAAGAAGGAAGCACTTGCAAATGATTCTTGAGTCACAAACACCACAAAACATCACATCATGCTCATAAACAGAACAACTGCACCCTACAAACCCAGGACAAAGAAGTGCCTACCTTAATCTCTGCTTGTGTGGCAGGCAGCAGACCAAAGGCTCAGCCACTGGACTGTAGCATTGACTTGCACTCTCACACCACCACAAGCAAGAGGAAATGCAGCTGCTCTTGAACTCCCCTCCCTGACATTAAAGGCTCACTCAACCTACATAATTCCTGGAGGAGACAAGTACATACTCCTACAGACTCATTGCTCCATAAGTCATTCCTCAGCACCTTCAGCCATGGCTAGGGCCAGGACTTAAGCGGGTGATATGGGTGGATACCACAGGCGGAGACCCAGGTGAAGCTGGAATAGGCAATTAGGTGCCCATTAATTAATGCCATGGTGCCCTGATAACTTTCTACACATGGTGCACAAGCCTGGTACAGCTTGGACATTTTATTTTAAAGCCTAAATATAACAGGAGATGCTGCAGAAGCCAAAGTTTCAGGCTGGAGCAGAAAAACAGTGGCTGAGATCTAGGAGGCCACCTTTGCTGTGGTGGTGGGTGGGTCCTTCCATTGCCCCAAAGCAAATTCCTTGCTACAGTCTGGCACCAAGGGCAATATGTGTGGCTCCATCTGTCAAAACCATGTTTTGCATGTAATATAATCATTACATCAGTTTTTTTGCTGATAGCCAGAAAGTTCTTGCTCATTTCCACCAGACACAGATAGCATGTAAGGATGAGCAACAGCAGCTAGAGAAATTAGTCATACATGGAATAGGAATAATAAAAGGAAAATAAAATAATAAATGTCAAGGGTAATTTTTTTGATGCTACAAAAGTGTGAGTCCTGCCAGCCCCTTCTTCTTTACTCCCTGTGGAGTCAAATTCTTCACATGCTTTGCAGAAATAGTGTGTTTTGAGGGGCATAAGAAGGAAGAAAGAGATGCTTTTCATTGCAAGTTGCAGCTGAGTTCTGCTAAATACTGCATGCAGTGGTCCCAGATTGTCTCCCTGACTGACCCTGACATGAATAGCTTGCCTGATATAGGGCTCATTTGGAAATGCAGGTGTTGAAACCAGGCAGCAACACTAAAGACTATGGTCCCTGAGGCAGCAACAGAAAGTGCCACATGACACAGCCCCTCAGGATGCTACCCAAAAGCTGGCAGAAGGAAGCCTGCATGTTTTCCTGTGGGTACAAGTGCATGCATGTAGGTGAGTGTATGCACGTGTGTGAGTCTGCACACACACAATCCTCCTGTGTTGCTGTGAACAGCATGAGAAACACCAAGCCTTTGAGACATCAGTCCCAAGGAACAGAGCAGCCCACCCTGCAAAGGCTTAGGGGAGGGACACATCCCTGTCCATTTCCTAAGGTGCCCTCTCCAATAAACAGCAAAATGGAGACCCCCCTATAGGGCTGTTGAGTTGCAGGGGTCCCCAGGACCTGTTGATGCACGTGTGTGAGTCTGCACACACACAATCCTCTTGTGTTACTGTGAACAGCATGAGAAACACCAAGCAGGTGTTTCTGTCCCAAGGAACAGAGCTGCCCACCCTGAAAAGCCTTAGGGAGGGACACATCCCTGTCCATCTCCTAAGATGCCCTCTCCAGTCAACAGCAAAATGGAGACCCCTTCATAGGGATGTTGAGTTGCAGGGGTCCCCAGTACGAGTTGATGAGAGATGAGTGAATCTGACTCTGTGTTCTTAGAAGGCTAACTTATTATATTATGATATTGAATTAAAGAATGCTATACTAAAACTATACTAAAGATAGAGAAAGGATACAGACAGAAGGCTTACCACGAATGATAATGAAAACTCGTGACTCTCCAGAGTCCTGACACAGCTGGACCATGATTGGTCATTAAGTAAAAACAATGCACATGAAACCAATGAAACAATCGGCTACCACATTCAAAAGCAGCAAAACAGGAGAAGCAAATCAGATCATTGTTATTTACATTTTTCTCTGAGGCCTCTCAGCTTCTCAGGAGAAGAATCCTGGGCAAAGAGATTTTTCCAGAAAATATTATGATGACACAGGGAGGCTTCAAACAGAAGCAGAGAATAGAGACTAAATGCAGGCCAACACTCCTTTTCCGCTCCTCTTCCTAAATGCAACAACAGAAGGTTTCACTGAGGGCAAGCCTCCTCCTTGTGATGCAGTCCTGACCCCAGAAGCAGCTGTGTCTGGATGAAAGGCAGATGTTTGCTCCAGCCAGCTGGGGTCAGTGATTCAAAACAGCTGCCCACTGCCAGCAGAGCCCATGGGAGTGAGCGGGGCAAACCTCCACAACAAAAAAACTAGTAAAAATATCCAATGAGTAGACTTCCCAAGGCTCCCAGCAAGCCTTGTTGCTGTGCTGGGCCTGCTCTGCTGCTTTTGGTGGAGCAGCAGTGGGTCCTGCTTCCACCATTAAGAGGGAGAAGTGGTTGGAGTTGATTTTCTCATTTGTATTCACACTCAGAAGCAAAAAGCTGATCTGTTCTTCTGCATTCACATCAGGTATCCAGCCAAACCACTGTGTGCCCTTTAGATGGATTAATCTACCTGCTCCCAGCATTGCTCTGCAATTCCCTCTCTGCCTGAGCTATGTGGTATTCCTCATCATGCCACAGGAGTTGTGTTCTCACTTCTTCTCCTGTCTGAACACTCCCATTGGACTGCAGGACACAAGACAACAAAAGCAAAGAGCTGTGCTGGTGCTGGAGGCCTTTTTCCCAATGTAGCCAGCAAGATTTGTTGGCAGCACGCTCCCAGGCCACCCAGCCCTGAGCTGATCAGCACGGCATGCTCTTTCCTTCTCCACTTCCCAAAGCTAATGCCAAATGAGCCATCAAAACTCACAGGAAAATTTTGAATTCATTTTGCAGCAACTAAATCTTTCCTTGTTAAAATGCTATATAGAGAGAATAATTATTTCTGAAAGGCCTTTTCATACTCCATGGAGTATTAAATAGGCAACACTGGATTTCCCTTAGCTGAAATTGCTTCCTCTGTGAAGGTAAGCCCTATGCTCAGCCCCCCTCAATCTCATCTTAATTTTGCTGGCTTTAGCAGGCTGCTTCTCCCTAAATGAAAGTGTCCACTGTAACTAAATCAATCATCCATCTAGAGGTGGATACCTGCATTTGTTTGTCTGGATCAGGAATGCTGTAGATAATGGGTCATTAAAAATTACACTTCTCAAGCCACAGGTATCATGAGCCTGACTGGCAAAGATTGAGCTTTTAGATAAGAAAGGAGGTTTAGGAGGGTCAATTAGGTTAAATTGGCTTGGATCATCATCCTCTGATACACAAGCTTTATTAAAGCCTGTAGTTGGAGACAATAGCTTATCTTCACTTCAGCACAATTATTTTTAAAATGTGGCTGCACAATTTGGGGATTGCCAACACACGATATCCACTACCAACAAATCTGAGATTATCAAACATTTGAGCCCATCAGATTACAAAGGCAAAGGTCATTTTGTAGAAAATATAGTGAGGACAAAAGCACTGTTCTTCTGTCAAGCTATGCTCAAGCCTCTGCAGAGCATGGCTGGCTCGTGAAATAAAACACTGCAGGTCTGAAAGGAGCCAGTGAGCCATGAGTTACCTGAGCCCTGCAGCTGAGCCCTTCCCCTCAGCACTCAGATGGGGTTTCCCTAGCCTGAAAATGTTTCAGTGGCTCCAGCAATACCACAATGCAATCTCCTGTTATGAGCATTTGCTCTGGGGAAGGAGAGACAAACCCCTCTTAAGTCTTTCTCAAACACATTTTCTCATCTGTCTTTCTAGACATCTGTTTCTAAGTAAAAGGGAAAAATATGCTTGCAATGAAACTGGCCATTGAGCCCAAAGCCAACGAGCTGCTCATATGGTTCTCTGTTCCCCAGGGCAGTCCCACAGCCCTTTCTTTGACAAGACCTGCAGAAGAAGGGTTCCTCCTTGTTTTCCTACTGTCCATCATCTGGTTTTGCTGGAAGGTGCCTCACTGCCCCTCCTCTTCCCTGCTGAGCCCTGCATCCTTGCTCTGTGGGATCTGGCAAGTGCATTGCAGATGATTTGCTGTACCTCTCGCTTTCCAAACACCTGAGGCCCACCCTTAGGTATTTCAGACAAGAGGGAAGCCAGATTGCTCGAAGGGAAGCATCCAGAATACCATCAGAATGAGTACACAGCACCTGGTGATCATCAGCAGCATTTTTCTTGTTGTGCTGTTGCTCTCACACCTCATCTTTGTGTGACAGGATTTGTAAGAAAAGCATGGGAAGTGGGAGCTCTTGAATCCCAACCTCATTTCTGCCTCCCTGCTTGCCATTTGTCTTGGAGCAAGATATCCATAACCTTACACATCCACTTCTGAAGGCATCACGAGGACTCATCAGACATCCATGTTTATAAATAATGGCTTCTACACACGGAATTGTGTGGTTTGCAGTCAGCACAACAGTGAGCTTGGAAAGGGCAACACAGCCCTTCTGATAATCCAAGGAATCCTGAGGACCATCACAAATAAATCCTGTCCTTGGAAAGAGACTCTAGGATGGGCTTAGAGAGTTTCCTGTGGTTTTGTTTTATTCATTACATTCCCTCCTCCGCCCCATTTCTCACATGCTCTTTTAATATTGGGGGTGAAAACGATTGCAAAGATCTATCATTTTTTTTGTCACTAGAAAGGGCAAAAAATTGTTGAGGTCTACTCCCTATTTAATTAATCCTAAAAATACATGCATGATATAAAGATCAGAGCATGAAAAAAAAGTCTCTTCTTTATAGAGAAAGCATGCAGTCATAGAACAAATTTTCTGTTATAAATATCTGCCTTTTTGCCATATATTTTAATAATCAGTCAGATACATCTTACATGTATGTGCAATAGGCACACATTTAAAAAGAGAGAAAATGCATGCATTTTTAACCCACATTTAGCCTGAAGTGGCTTCATTATTTATTACTTCAGTTTGCTGCTGCTGTGATTGAGAAGTGGAGAAAGGGAAGCCTCCAAGCAGGGATCATGGGAATATAAAGGGAATTGGCACTCACAAGTTGCTGAGAAAGTCTTGGGCTTGTGGCCTCATTTTGACTCCTATCAATGCCAAGTGTAAAATAATAGTCCGATTCAGAGCTAAATACCATCTAGATTTCCCACTGAGTCCATTAATTCTCTTCTTTTATTGTGGCAGAAACATTAAATACCTCAGATTAGAATCAGGGTTTCATGCAGGATCTGTATTCCAATTACACAGCATCCTTTCCCAATGCAAGACATTGTATTGATTTGTTTGGGGGTAGGGGGGATTTTTTTTTCTGCCAACTTAAAAGAGCAATTTATTCTTTCTTTCTTTCTTTTTAGATCAAATTGCAGATGTTTTTGTCAAGCTGCTTCCTCTCAGAACTGGTGCGTGAGCAAGGAGAGCTGCTGCTCATGAAGGAATATGTGAGTAATGGATCTATTTTGTCTGGACAAATCACCTCTCTGCAATCTTTGAGGATTATCATCACCAAAGAGTTCCAAAGTGACACCTGCTAGGCACTGTCTAGCTAATTATTTGAAGCTCTTCTGTTTCTGCTGAAGTTTTGGCAGCCAGCCTGTAAAGTATGACTCTGAGCTGTGTTTCTACAATATAATGCTTCTAGGAATGAGACAAACTGCTTTTTCTAGCCAGTGCAAGAGACATTTGCCTCTCTACCACCACAAAAAAACAATATTAAGCAGCTGCTCAGTGCTGCTTTCTGAAGGCATTTCTGTCACTGATCAGCAGAATTTAATAACATCCAGATTTAATCCCTCAGACTCAAACTGAGCTCCCAGCAGAGGCACAGGGTGTATCAAGGGGGTATTTTGAAATTCAAGTTCTCTCACAGGCAAGTGAGCAGCTGGAGCTATTCTGGGTTGAAATATTTAGCCAGGGCCAGATGAACAGATTTGACAGGACAGTGGCAATTTCTGCTTTAAAGTTTACTTTTTTTCACTTGGTGCTTCACTCTTGTAAGAAGCCCAGAAAAGAGTTCCCTCATCAATCTTTTTTTTTTTTCTCCTTTCATTTGGCAAACTCAGGGTCTCATTTGAGAAATGCAAGGAAAAGGACTAGTTTGGCTAGAAAAATGAGCTGTCTAGATGATGCTCAGCTTGTCAAGAAAAAGCATCTTTGGGGTGAACATCACCAGTTTCTGTGAGGGGGCATCATTCTGTAGCATCAATGAATTTCCCAGCAGATGGGAAGTTGCTCTGAGTTGTGTAAAACAGCAGAGTCACCCTTCCAGACTTTGTGGTCCTTGCTAGGAGGTGAACACCTCTGAGGATGGTCAAGGCACTCAGTGCTGTCCCAGGCTCCTAAGCTGGGTGCTTCCAGTGATGGTGAGAACCATCCATGTCTCCTGTTCCACCTCATCCTTCTCTGCCCAGCTACTAAATAAATAAATAAAGTCATACTGACACCAAAGTAATTCAAAAAGACGAATGGCCATTAGCTACTCTTCATAAAATTGTTTCTGACTTGTGGTGGAGGCTGTTTCCTAAGGTGGGTGGGAAGAAATATATGGTTATGCTGAATTATTCATAGAGATTTGCATAAAGCCCAATACATATGTTACCAAAAGATGGTCCTATAGGACACATGGTATCCCTTTTCCTGCTTTATTTTTTGTCACTTTGACCCACAGCATCCTCTCTCCAGCCCTCACTTTGCAGTCTGTGCTCTACTCACTGCTTCCACAGTTATGTTTGCTCTCTCTCCAGCCCTTCCAAATACTGACCAGCCCTCAGTAGTTGTTGTCAGCTCCCAGCTGAACCTCTTCACCCAAATCTCTGTTTCTCCAGCCTTTCAGGTGACCTGTTTTGGGTCATGGTCTTGTTCTTACAGCCATCTTATTGCTCAATACACCTCGACTCCTCCCACCTAAAACCAGGAGTGTTTGCCAGGTTGGACAGGACTGCACCTCACCTGCACCCTACTGTGAAGGGAATCCTGGAGAAACATCTCTCTTCACCTCAATGAACATATAAAAAAACCTCAAGAGCGATGCTTTTTCAAAGTTTATTTTAACAGTGAAATAGTTTGCAAAACTGATACTCTCAGCCAAGCAAGGGTTGTTCCTTTTCATTCCTTACCCTGTAATAAATGCCCTGCTGGCAGGAACGCTCAGTCTCGGGTACAGTGCAGGGTTTTGTACCCTTCTCCCCCTTAGCTGAAGCTCCTTGGCACAGCAGAGCTGAGCCAGATGTCCTTTTTGGCTTGAAAACAGGCTTCCTGGGGGATATGGTCCAGTCCACAGGCTATTTTTATAGGAAGGAGATGTGGAACTAGAGAAGAATAAGACATGAAACACCTCCAAGGAGCCACCTGAGGAAGATGTATTTTAACCTGAAAAAATTATCTGGTTTTTTTTTTTTTTTTTTTTTACCCCACTATTTTGGTACTTTTTCCTTATTTTTGGGAATCTTAAAGCCTACCTTAGACACCTGTTCCTTTGCTCTCAGTGGTTTGGTAAAGTCATGCCACAATTTTGACATCCTTTGAACGCAAACTAAAGATGCCAAGTACCTACCTCAGCTGTCCTTCACTAGCCATATTACTTAATAATTATTCTTAGAAGAGTGAAGTGACTTCTCATCACTCAGAAATAAGCAAGGCTGTAGGTTTGGTTGGCAAAAGTAATTTATCCTTGTTTCCAAAACAAATAAGCAAATCTGCATACCTTTTTCTTAACAGTACAGAGAGAGAAGTTCAGCTAACAGCAGCTGGTATAACTCCATGGTTTTCACTGGAGCTGAGACAATTCCCACTGCTTGAGTAATGAATTGTCATGAGTGAATGAGGAGTGATCAAAGAAACATTTGGTTTCAGTAACATAAGATTACAAGTGACAGATCCTCGTTTGGGAATTTGTTTTTCCTCTTTCAGTCTCAGCCCTCAGAGATTTGAGTCAGAGATTTCTGGGCTTTTGCAACCATTTATTTTTTCCCTATGAGCTTGTGTTCCACCTGCAGATAATGGTCCCTGAAAATTCTCCCCCAAAGAAATAATAAATTCAGCATTCGAACATCTCTCAGCAGTAGATGGCACTGCAGGGACTGAAACCTGAAAGGGAAAAGCCAAGACTCAAATTTTGCTCTCAGAAAGGACTGTCAGGATTATAATTGCTATAAAATATCCCATACATGCAGGTTACCCTAATAAGCATGTATTGATTATAAATTGTTTCCATAATTGCAATTTTAATGTGTGGAGTTTTTAAGGGCTTTGCACATGCTCTGTTGTGGAAGAAATAGGTTGCATGACTGCAAGCAGATGGGAAACCTACTAGCAATTAAATTTTGATTTGTGTATTATTTATCACAATACATACCTTATAGTTAAGCTTTTTTGGAGCATTTATCTGGCTTAAAAGGTAATGAAGGAGCTTGCTATTGTGGGAAGCAATTGATTTATAGCCTGCAAAATATTCTTGCTCTTACATAACAGGATTACACTGAGTTCTTTTCTCGGTATAATCTCTATTAGGTATTGTTATAAAATGCTGTTATACTTTCTTTAAGGCATGAACATGTGTAAAAGTCAGATGGACAGAAGCTGTTAACTCAATGTGCTGTATCTCTTTGAGAAAAGCTGAGAGAAAAAAGGGTTCCCATGATCTAATCCCACAGAAAACAAGGTGGCTTCCCATCATAAATGTGGGCTTGTCCCCACACTCACAAGAGACCTCCATTTTATTTCAGATTCAAGTGATTCCCCATCACCTGGTATTTTAAAGCAAGCCTTTCTCACAGCTCAGCTGCAAACCTGCAAGGTCCATTTCCATCAGTGTGGGTAATTTTGGGGTGATCCCAGCCATACTGATGTGCTAGCAAAGCAGCTTCTCTATCCCACGAGAGCATTTCCTGCTTGGATACTTCAGCAGTGCACCTAGAAACCAGGGGCCAGAATGTACATCAGGGAGGGGCTGTGCTGGCTGCCACCGAGTCTCTGAAGGGCAGAGCCAGGTTTGGAGCCTGGTGCTGGAGTGACAGAGACATCACAGCTGAGGGCTCACTCCGTGTGAGTGCAGCTCCTCTGTCAGGAGCAAAGGCTAAAAGGTTTGTGCTGGGGCCACATCCACATCCCAGATCAGCACCTTTGTCTCCTGCATCTTCCATTTCAGTGCTTTCCAGGGGGAGATTTCAAACCACAATGGTCAAACCTGTGAAGAACCCAGAGCTGAACTGGCAGATGTTTGGAGCTGAGGAAACTTGGAACCTGCAGCTGCCATTAAGGCAATTGCTCTTACACACCTCATTACAAGGATTCTCTTCCATTAGTTTGATTTCCCCAGGATTTTAGGCTTTGGGGCAGGCAACTAACACCTCTATTTGGACCTAAAAACCTCAAGTCCAAGGAGAAGCATATGCCTCCTTTGCAAAACCATACACGAAAGCAGAAGAAAGAATTAATGTACTTCTCTGTGTCACAATTGTCTATGCAAGTATCAGGCTGTGCTAGTACTTGGTAAGCAAGCATTTGCTTAGAAGAGGTGGGGTAAAAGGTTAAAAAGCTGGAAGTACTTCCTCATATCTAAAAATAATAAAAAAAAAATATTGAGCAAGACATTTTTTCAGCAGCACAACCCTGCCTGCATTTGCAGCTGCAACATGTGCAAAAACAAAAAGCACCACTTAGGGCAAACTTTTCCAAAATAAGATAATTTTATAAAATATGCACTGAAACAAAAGGAAATTAAACCAGTGTGCTCGCTAATGATCTGTGTGCCAGCAGCTCACTCTCCTAGGTGCTGCTTGCAGAAGTCACTGGAATATAAACAGAAAGCAGGGATCAATCCTGCACTGCTCAGGGGTTTAGCTGGGCATCCCACATGCACTCACCAGCAGCACTAGGCTGAACACCAACTTTGGGGTTGCTCATCTTATGCCTGTACCAACATTATCCATCCCTTTGCTGCTCATCCTCGTTTCTGAGGAGCTGGAAGGGCTGCTCAAGGGGGTGGGACATTTTGTACCAGCTAGGACATCCAAAGTGGGTATTTTATTATTTCTTCTTCTATTTTTCCTTTGCTTTTCAGTCTGTGAGATCCTGAAATTGTGAAAGAGACATTTTTGTGTTACAAACATAGCTGTTATTTAACAAAAAAAAAACCCCAACAAACAAACAAGGCAAAACAAATCACCAAACATCATTCTGAGCACACACTGGTAACTTTTGTCACCATGCCAGCACACTATTAAAAACAACGCAACAGAAATTACCTTTGAAAATAACTTACCATTTCCTCTTCAATCTTTTCATCTCCTTTCACTTTGTTTTGGTTGAAAAGCAACAATAGAATGTCAGAGGTGGGAGGAAAGGCATTTTTGTAACAGAATTGTGGAATATGCAGCGGGTTGGGGAAAAACGCTTCTTGCCAGTCTCATTTCTATTCAATAACTCAGTAGGCTTTCCTCTTTTTATGTACACATATACATGTACAAATGTGCAGGTGGTGCCAGGATAATTTCCTGAGAGCATTTCCTACTTTGCCTTTGTCATCCTTGTTTATAAAGAATAATCACTATCCCAATTTTTCATTTGAGAAGCAGGTCATACCAGGAATGTAAAGATGATGGCAACTCGTTACCTGTGATCTTAAAATAAAAACTGAAATGTTCTGCCCTTGAATTGTGTTGCAAGAAGAAAAAGAGTGTAGTGTCGTTGCCTTGTTTGAGGTCTGGATTTCCCCTGCTTCCAAAGGAATAAAGGGACTGAAGCATTAAAGGCAGCTGGGTAGCATGCATTACTGTTGTTGTTCTCAAAGAACAAAGCCTTTCTTTTAAAAGATTTTAATGTGTTTTACCTGCTTCCATCCATCTCCCACTCTCTTGTTCCTCTGTCTGCCCTAAAATTTCACAGCAATATCTTATGCAGAGGGAGCTTTACTAAATGTCATTTCAGAGTGGATAAATTCAGCCAAGATCTGAAGCAACACATGAGGTTTTCAGGTGTGGAGATTCAATCACATCTCTTGCACCCATTTATCAGACCAAAACCAAACCAGGGCACTCAACTGGCTGCCAAAACATGAACTTGGAAGTCTTCATATATATATGTATACATATATATACACACATATGTAAACATATATTATAGGCATATTTTCATACTATATGTAATATAATACAATATTTGCTATATACATTACAGATTTTATTTTATAATACTGAGCACAATTTTAAGGTTAGTTGCAATCTAAATCAAAAAGTTTTAATTTCATGGGGAACTGGACAGAAGAAAATGAGTGAGAAACCTTTCCTTTTTTCATTTACAAAATTCTACCCTGGAGAGCTCTTTTTGATTTTAGTGGGGTTATTCCTCACTAAAATTTACAGGAGGAGAGGGAAGTAGTGGAATGTCCATGGTGGGTGTCCCTGGTAGGACAAGGTTTTCCTTGCTGTCCATGGCACATCCTCCCTACGGAGCAATGGGGAGATGGAAGGGAGCTATTGGCTGTGTGGGGAAATAAATGTAGCTAATGACTTTGAATTTGTTGGCAGATATTTTGGTGATCTCGCTTCTGGCGATGTCCTTTACACAACTTTATCCGTGCCTGTTCACACGCATCCGCTGCTTCCCATTGGTAATTGTGATTCAAGGTGACTTCAGCACAAATCCAATCCACTTCCAGCAGCACGGTCTGGCGAGTTTAGCAGTGATGGGCCAGATGTTGGGGTAGGTATGACACTAACAGCTGTGAGATCCCCAAATCTACCACAACACCTGGAAAAAGTACAGCAATCTCAGCATGGGTGCTGGCAAACACAGAATGAGAGATATTCTCCTAACTCACCACTACTCTGTCCCCATGACTCCTCTTGCTCCCCCATTGGTGGGAACTGTTTGAGAGGAGCCAAGACAAATGAAGAGGATCTAATTCCTCGAGAAAAAAACTATAGTAATGTGCTAAGCAGTGCTTAAACACTTAAAAATACTTTTCCAGATCCAGATGTGGGCAGCTATGGAACAAGCTAGAGTTCAGCCCAGCCATAGGTGCAGTACTGAAAAAGCTCAAACATGGGGAAGAGCAGACTCAAGAGGAATTGCACATGGCACCGGAGCTCACAGCCTCACACACACTGGGCATCCCTGTGCTGCCAAGTCCAGTTATGGTGCAGACAGAGTGTAATCCTCACACTGATAAGGAGCTAGATACCAGCTGAAACAGTCCACCCCAGATCTGGAAAGCTTTCTGAGTGCCTCAGAAAGCTTAACTTGAAAAGTAACGTCTTCACTATATTTTATCCACAGAAATATATATCTAATAATAAAAAATATGATAAATGTATTAGTTTAGGAATCAGCAACAATTCCAGGTGAAGGCACAAGCAGAGCAGGTAGTCAGATTTCACAGTGCCCAACGAATGGTCCTGTCCCACAGACTCACCTATAAGAGCAGATGGGACTTCTTCTGCCTTGAATGACTTCAGCTTTGGCTGACAGCGAGTGGGGATTTTACCCCTGATAGCAAACAGGAATACAGCTACATCAGTGTACAACAGTTTTTACTAATCTTGCTCATGCTGGACGCAAGTGCAAGTCCTCTCCATCTTGTTTCTACAAGCATTGAAAGGTACTTAATAGACCCAGAAGGTCAGGGCTCTCTTAGCACTGACCAGCCATTAGAGCCCCTAACCACCTTACTCACAGAGGACTGCAGATCCAGTTTTACATAAGATGAATAGCAAAATGCTGAGCCTTTGGCTTGTCAATTTGCCTCGTTTCCTCATGTCCCTGCATCTGTAACAAAGCAGGGGATAATACACCTTTCCTGCATCCATCACCTGCTGGCTCTCATGGCTCTTGCCCAGCCCATCTAACAATCCTGGCACCCAGCCTCCCCTTCGCTGCAGTGGCCTCTTTTGTCACTTGTCAACTAATTAGACCTCGCAGGCACATTACCAGCGTGGGCAGAGAAGGCCTAGAACAACTACAGGTTTTTTTATTTTTTAAAAAAAAGCTACCAGATGTTTACTGAGTCTTATCCAAAGGGATTTAATGGCAGCCTCAGCATGTTCCCAACAGAACAGCATCTGCAAGTCTCCAAACAGTGTGATTTCATTAATTCCTCAACAGGCTCAGGTTTCTACCTGGGGTCCAGATTTTTCTTGTTTTCCTCCAAACATTGTGACAGATATAAACAGAGTGGGATTGCCACTCATGCCACTTTGAAGCTAGAACATTTTTGCAAAGTTTTAGTGCATCACTTCTCTCCAGCATCAGAACCCTAGTGAAGAATGCCATTGAATTTTGGGACTGGCAGGATATTGAGTTTTTTTATGAGCGTTGAATTGCACCTGCCGGATGAGAGACTAATTGGAATCATCCATTAAAAACAAAAAAGGCTAGAAACTAATATGAAAAAGATTACAATCACTAAAGGATGTGGTGGTGAAGGAGGGAAAGGGCACAAGACATATGGCAAGGTTATGGTCGGTACAAATCCTCCAGTCCAGTTCATTAGCAAGGCAGTTCATCTCACTAACAGTGCATTATCACCCATTAGCATGGAGCAAGATTAGTCAGCAAGTGAGCAAAAAGAAAGAAAAAAAAAGGCACCTGTCTGTAAAGTATTACCTCTGTACACCAGTCATATGCCAAAGCTGTGATCCCAGGTCTCCTGACCATTCCCAGCCTCCAGCAGCTCAACATCCTCCATGTCTGGACTGTGAGCTTGGACTGCTCCGTGCTTGGACTGCCCGGTGGTGGCTACTGCAACACAGCTCCGATGATTTATCAGGTTAAACTGGCTCAGGAAGCCCCTGTTTGTCCACAGCAATATTCACACCTCTGTTTCAGGCCAGGGAGACTGAGACCAGGCAATATCTGCTACGGCAGGGCCCAGAAAGCCAATACTGCTCATAAATCACTGCATCGAGGGAGAGGCCTTTATCAAGGCAACCCCTTTGTCTCCTCTGTATCTGATAGCCATGATTCTGCAATAAAGGCAGAAATACCGTTGCCTTCCACAGTAATTTACTACAGGGAAAAATCAGGGGCTAGGTTCAATACAAACTTGACAGTTATAACTAGTACTCAGCTGTGTGCTGAGGAAGCTTGACCTTCTTACCCCACAGGAAGGGAAGACAGGGCTGCTTATGGTGTTTGCCTCCTATTCCTCATCTGTCACTGCCCTCCTCATTGTCTCCCATGTTCTCTTAGATTTTACATATATAGCTTTTGGCACTTCTCTTTTCTCCAGACTTTTGTCCAAGAGAAGGAAGAAAAAAACACCTCCCAAAGGAAGGATTGCCAGACAGCTTGCCAGAGACAGAGATCTGTGATTTCTGAGACTGGCACAAGAGAAAAAGAGTGGTGGCATCCTTAATGTGAAATGTGCATGCAGAACAGGAATCCAGGGGGCCAAGAGGACACAGCTAAGTTCAGGTATACCTTCCCGGTGGAGGACTACTGAATACTTTATTGAGATTTTAATTAACTTATTACAAGCTCATGGTGATTAAAAAAAAATCCTATTCTGTGGCTGAAGCAAAATTTAAGCTTACCTGCACATGTCTTTTACCTGATAACTGGTGGGATATCTACCTCATCTGTCACTGCCCTCCTCATTGTCTCCCATGTTCTCTTAGATTTTACATATATAGCTTTTGGCACTTCTCTTTTCTCCAGACTTTTGTCCAAGAGAAGGAAGAAAAAAACACCTCCCAAAGGAAGGATTGCCAGACAGCTTGCCAGAGACAGAGATCTGTGATTTCTGAGACTGGCACAAGAGAAAAAGAGTGGTGGCATCCTTAATGTGAAATGTGCGTGCAGAACAGGAATCCAGGGGGCCAAGAGGACACAGCTAAGTTCAGGTATGTCTTCCCAGTGGAGACTGCTGAATACTTTATTGAGATTTTAATTAACTTATTACAAGCTCATGGTGATTAAAAAAAAATCCTATTCTGTGGCTGAAGCAAAATTTAAGCTTACCTGCACATGTCTTTTACCTGATAACTGGTGGGATATCTATGGTAAAGATAAATGTTTTCCTCTCCCTTGATAGTCCCCCATAATTTCCTTCATCTCAGCACCTTCTCTCTGCTTGCCTCTGCTCCCGTAAAGCTTTCTCCATGCAGAGCCTCTGGCTGCACAGAAAAACTAGAAAAGTAATATCTATATCTAGAATGCATTTCATACCCTGCTGGCTGCTGTGTGGAATGTTTTTCCACCACATCTGTAAGACACAGTTTGCAGTATTAAAAAGAGGGAGGTCCTCTACAGTCAGAACATCATGATGGAAATTACACATTTTGATCCACAGGTGTTCCACAGACTTATGCGTCTCCATGCAGGTTTTCTGGGGAAAAAAAAGACAGGCAAAAGCTAATAAATCATGGGATGCTTTTGGGCAGACTGAATGAATCACTTGTCTTACAAGATGA